CTTCTTGCTTGAGTAATGTTTATGCTGTTGTTTGGCATGCTGTGGGTAGCCGGAAGGCGTGAATCCTAGATTGTGAATTATGAAGTATGGAATATGGCCGTTTGGCAATTTTGTGCATTTGCTTGAATTGAATAGAAATGCATTGTGAGATTGATTATGAATGTAAACCATGTTTGTAATGGTGTGAAATGAATGATGAATATATATATATGCATTGTGATATATATATATATATATATATATATATATATATATATATATATATATATATATATATATATATATATATATATATATATATATATATATATATATATATATATATATATATATATATATATATATATATATTGTGAATGCATAATGAATATATGCGATGTATGTGATAAATGCACGAGTATGTTTGTGAACATGTATGCATTTCAAGAGTGTCATGAATCATGTTGCATGTGAAGCATCTTGGTATGCATTCTTGTGTTGATTGATCCCTCGGTGGATCTGCAGAACCTCGTGTGCCCATGTGGGGTGTGAGCGATGGTTATATTGATCTCTCGGTGGATCTATAGAACCTCGTATGATACGATGGTTATATTTTATTGTGTGCCCATGTGGGGTGTGAGCAATCAGATCATGTGCCCGGTTGGGGTGTGAGTGATCAGATCATGTGTCGGTTGTGGTGTGACTGATCGGGTTGTGTGCCCAGGTGGGGTGTGAGCAATCCATAAATATTGTGTGCCCATGTGGGGTGTGAGCAATGGGTGAACATCGTATGCCCGACGGGGAGTTACTTCAGTAACGAGCGATGGTTCCATTTGGTTCTTCAATTGAACCTGCTGAATTGAGTCGGTACCGCATGTGCATCTGCATAGAGTCGTGTGTCGGTCTCTATGAGTTGCATTTATCATCTTTATATGATGTATGGTGAAATAAACATGAATGTAGATGTTTATGTGGATTAGTGATGAAATAGACATGTTGTGTATGTTTATTTGAATTAATGTGATTTGTGACGATTGGCATGAATGGATATGCTTGCAGATATATATGTATGTGTGTGTGTATATATATATAGGTGAATGTTTATGTAGATTGACATAGACCTTGTAGAATGCATATTGTATATGCTTGGTGTTTTATGATTATATAGATACGTTATGGATACATTGCGATGTATGGTGTAAATGAGGTGAGTTGCGGTGAGAATACGAAAGATGAATATTGGATGTTATACGTGTATGTTTATGTGGATTGAAATGAATTATGATGAAAGGCATGATTGAATATGCTAAATGATATATGTATATGCGTAGATAATGTATATGTTGATGTTCATGAGAATCGGTGTTGAAACAAACATATTGTGTGCGTTTCTTGATAAATGTTGTAATGCATGTTGTTTGTATGCAATTATAAGTGAAGAGTGCATTGCTTAGTAAATTATGATGATGATGTTGAAACTAATGAATGCGTGTAAGTTGTGAACATTGGGGTAGAATGACATGATGTCGTTCCTAGTGGAGTGATCGCCAGGGTAGAATGACTATGTGTTATTCCTGGTGGGGTATAAGTGATATACCCATAATCCCGAACGGGGGAATTGGTGGAATTAATGGGCTTTATGTGAGCCATGAGGCATGGATACGAATGTTGATTAAAGTCGTGCTTATGTATATGTGCATGACTTGTATAATTGGAAATGATGTATATGTGATTGTTAGGAGAAGCATGCGTATATGCATGAGATGTTGATTTAAGAGTGGTGAGTATAGTAATGTTATATGAAAGTATGCTATGTGCATGACTATAATGTTTTGGATAAGTTGTGAACATGTAATTGATGTATTACAACGTGCTTATGTGTATGAAAATGTGGAATAATGAAACTACGAATATGTGCATGATAATATGCTTGATGGTTAATCATGTTAGTTTATATGTGTATGTAAATTTGAGAAGTATGTGTGAAAGGATTATGGAATATGGTGAGAAATGTGGCATATATGTATTTTATGATTATTTTTATCCATAATTATATGCATTGATTATTATGATAATATTTCTCACCATTCTTCTGGAATGATGTCCTATATGACATCGTGCAGGTATCCAGAGTAGAGCTGCTTGTAGTTCGAGATCGCTATCGGTTTAGCTGTATAGTGATTTAATTATTGTTGGGTCGAGTCATGCTCTGTTCATGTAACACTGGGATCGCTTGGTTATGTTTTTATAAATATGTTATGTTTTCATGTTTATTGAAGTAATGAGAAATTGACCTTAGTGCCCGATTGTTGTTGAATTATGTGATGAAAACAAATATTTCTTTTATGAAATTATTGGATAAATGAATCCGTTGCTACATGCAAAGTGAAAAATTGTAAAACATGATCGTTTATTGATTGTTAATGAGCATGGTAGGTGTTTTGAAATGTAAGTGTGACATCCTTATTCGAATGCATGTTAATTTTACTCTGATTATTGTCATTAATTGTGGGGTTTAGAAAAGGGTGTTACACTTTTCTTTATGGAGATTTGGATGAGGAAGTGTACATGTCACTACCAAAAGGCATTATACCCTCCTTTCCAAATTAAGTTTGTAAGCTCCTCATATCCATTTATGGCCTAAAACAGTCAAGTAGACAATGGTTTGAGAAGTTATCCACTGTTTTACTCAACATTAATTTCAAACAATATTCCTTAGATCATTCCCTATTTATTCATCAGTCTAGTGAGCATTTTACATGTATTCTCATTTATGTTGATGACATTTTAATTACAAGCAACAATCTGGACATTCTCAATAGGCACAAAGCAGATGTTGCAACATAACTTTCACATCAAGGATCTTGGCACTATGAAATATTTCTTAGGGCTGGAATTGGTAAGAAGCAAAATTGATATCAGCATCAACCAACGCAAGTACACTCTTGATTTACTCTCCAACAGTGTTACTTGGATGCAAACCTGCATAAACTCTTATGGCTTGTGACACAAGATTACAATCTATTAATGGCATTCCCCTTCAGAACCCTACCAAATATCGAAGGCTCATTGGTCAGCTAACTTACTTGCTTAACATACGACTTGATATATCATACTCTGTCTAACAACTTAGCCAACATATGAGCAACCCAACTGATGTACATTATAATGCAACCCTACGTGTTCTTAGATACCTCAAATCCTCTCCAGGTCAAGGCTTATAATTTCCAACCAATTCTTGCCTGCAACTCAAAGTTTTTTCTAACTCAGAATGGGCAACGTGTCCCGAAACTCGCAAATCAGTTACCGAATTTTGTATTTACCTTGGAGATTCTTTGGTTTCATGGAAATCTAACAAGAGACCAACCATTTATCGCATCTCAGCTGAAGCTGAGTGTCGTTCCATGGCTTCTACAGTTTGTGAACTACAATGGCTAACAAATCTCCTTAACAAACTTTGCATCAGTTTCAAACAACCTATTCTGCTTTATTGTGACAATGCGTCTGCTATCCACATTGCCAACAATTCATCATTCCATGAACGGAGTAAGCATCTTCATCTGGACTGTCATATCGTGCGAGAGAAGCTCCAACAAAACCTTTTTCATCTTTTACCTGTCACTTCTTCATAGCAACTGGTTGATGTCTTCATCAAACCACTGGATCAAACATTACTAAGCTTATCCTCCATTTTATTTACCCCAAGCTTATGGGGGGTATTGGATACATATGCCTTTATTTTTTTTTATTTGGTATTGGGACGTATTGTTTCATTGATTTGTACCGGCCCATTACTTTACTTGTATATATTTCTATTCCCCTTAATAATTCAAGCTAAGTGAAAATTATTTTCAATTCAAATCAATGACGCCGGATTATGTTTCCCATTTCTTTTTTTCATTTTCAATTCATGTCAATATATGTAATACATCATGTCCACAAATATTAACCATCAAATGGCAGAAATATTGTGATAACTTACACAAAATGAAGCGGTACGTGAGGCAACACAAAAAGCTCAAATGGATGCAATGATGAAAAGAAAATGGAGGTGGAAAAAACTTTAAGTGTTTCACGAGAACAAACGCAAGAATATGTGTTCTCACAAAGGAGCCAACCTTCTAGTTCAATGGGTGGAAATATGGGGTATCAATTATCGATATCCTCATTACTAGACTCTTTTTCATATTTTGTAATTGAGAAATATTCAAATTTAATTCCAAACCCAATCATAAAGATTTTTCTCCGTCTAACTTGAGATAGATTCGAGTGGGTCTTCACACATACAAGTTATAAGATTTTACCCCATACCCCTACATTTATACCCACACCCTTACACTAAAAAATATTGGACCAAAATACCCTTCCTTAAATATTTAAAATTTTAGAAATTTTTTCATTTCACTTCATTTACATTTCAAGACTTCCGGGGCACTCAATTTTTACCTTCAAACCGGAACTCTTCCAACAAGTCTTCCGGAACACAAATTTTCACCAATACATACCGGAACTCCACAAGTAAGTCTTCCGGTTTGTTGATTTTTTCGTATTGTTAACCGGAAGACTTTATTTATGTCTTCCGGTTTGTAGCTTTTTTTAGTTTCTTCACCGGAAGACTTAATGCATGTCTTCCGGTTCATAAATTTTTGTTTTTGTTCACCGGAAGTCTTGGATTAAGTCTTCCGGAACACATGTTTCACGTTTTGTTCACCGGAAGTCTTAGTTCAAGTCTTCCGGTTCATTTTTTTTTACTTTTTAATTTTTAATTATATTTATTTATTATTTTTTTAATTTTTAATTTTTAATTATATTTATTTATTTATTATTTTTAATTTTTAATTTTTAATTATATTTATTTATTATTCTTCTTTTAATTTTTATTTTTTAATTATATTTATTTATTATTGTTTTTTTAATTTTTACTTTTTAATTTTATTTATTTATTTATTTTGTCAGTGGTGCGCACACGAGGTAGAGATGGTAGGATCCCTCGAGAACTAGGTCGGGGCGAGTCATCGAGAATGGCTGAAGAAGAGCATTTTGATGCATCTGCATCAACATCAACATCAGCATCCGAGCCTGTTGGATATCCAGGAGGACCGTATGATACATCTCTGTTAGTTAAGTACGAAAACCAAGTTGCTAGACGTATATGGTTCGGTGAGGTAAGTAAAAAAAAAATTATTTAATATTGAATAGAATTTGAATTTTTAATATTGAATTTTATGATATATTTACTTTTAATTGTTTTCAGGAGAGAGGGTCGAAGAAAGAGTTAAAGGTAGCGGGACATGGGTTGAAGTTGACTCAGAGGGTTCCACTACAGCTACCCAGAGAGATGGAGGGCTGGATATCTAGGTCTAGTCTAGCTTCATTCCAGAGAATTAGTTTAACGAAGATAGACACAAACCTAGTTTCCGCATTTGCAGAGAGATAGCATTTAGAGACATCTTCATTTCACATGTCGTTTGGTGAGATGACGATTACTCTAGATGACGTATCTTGCCTGCTTCACTTGCCCATCAGGGGAGTCTTATGGAGCCCTCAAGATATCAGTGAATCCCTTGTTGTTGAGTGGGAAGTTGATTATTTAGGAGTGTCACATAGAGTAGCACAACAAGTGCGAGACTGCAGGGGTTCCTACTATAAGCTGGAGTGGTTATATGATCGGTTCGCAGAGCACAGAGCTGCATCTAGATGACATTATGCCACTAGAGCTTATTTGCTGATGTTAGTGGGTTCCACTATTTTCGCGTTCAAGACGTTTACGCTTGTCGAGGCACGATACCTCTCACTCACTACGCCAGAATTTACTTCTAGCAGCGCATACAAAGACAACGCTTTTTAAAAAAGCGCTGCTAAAGAGTCATTAAAAAAAAGAAAAAAAATTGCCTACCAAAGATAGCGCTTTTAAAAAAGCGCTTCTAAAGGGGGATCCTAAGAAATCGCTTTTTAAAAAGCGCTGCTAAAGGGGGACCCTAAGAAAGCGCTTTTAAAAAGCGCTGCTAAAGGGGGACCCTAAGAAAGCGCTTTTGAAAGCGTTGCTAAAGGGGGATCCTATGAAAGCGCTTTTTCTATAAAGCGTTGCTATATGGGGTACATAAGAAAGCGCTTTCCAAAAGCGCTGCTATATGTCATTGCTAAGACACACATTTGAGAGCGCTTTTTAAAAGCGCTGCTAAAGACCATTAAAAAGCGCTGCTATAGGTATAAGTAGAATAATTTTAAAATACCCTCCAGAATTTTAAAAGAAACAGAACAGTCGCGTGTTTCTTTTCTTCTTTCTTTCTCCTTTGGCGAACGAACCAGTGCCCTATACACCCATTCTGTTGTCGTCGCGGCCGTCCCCCTCTTCCGTTGGATTTAGCCGCCGTTCACCATCCGTTTTCGAGTGCCTCTGTCCGTCTGCATTGCATTTCCGCCATTGTTACGGTATGTGAAGTTTTACTCTGGTTTTCTTTTTTATTTATCTTTTCACCATTGTTACTGTGGTATTAGAAGATAAACTGAAAGAATGTGTTTTTATTGGAATGCAATCAATTTATCTATGCATATTATATATTTTGTATGTTTTAGATTGACAAACAAGAGTTTGGAGTGAAACCAATGAATTGCCCTGGGAACTGTTTGGTGTTTTTATATATTTTGATTCAACTGATAAATTCAGAACAAGAGTAAAATTAGAAATAAGGTGAATAGAATCAATAAATTACGATAGTGAGAGATTGAAGGTTGGTTGTAAGGAAAGGATTTTATAGCGAAAGAGTTATGTTTGATTTTTGCCGTAAGTTGTAGCTTGTTGTGTTCATGTTCATGAAAATTAGTAATAAGTTTATATGAGGATGAATGTTAGTGTTGTTAAGTGATGGCTTGGTGGTAGATAGTTTTGCAAGGTGAATAAAGAATGGAAGAGATTGATAAAAGTTGTACAAATGAAGAATGAATAGAATCAAAAAAGGAAGGGAAAAGTGAGAGAAATTGAATAGTTAGGTTTGTTTTTAACTTATCTATATAACACATTCAATATAATTTTTAGTTTGGAATTTAAATATAATTTTTTTCATAGTTTGGAAATTCCTATTTTTTAAGAGAGTAGCCAACATGAATATGGTTTTATATGATATGGTTTTATATGTTATTATGGTTTTATATGTTGATGGTTTTATATGTTGATATGTTATTATGGATTTCTCAATGTTTATATGATATGTTATTATGGTTTTATATGTTTACTTAGGATTTCTCAATGTTTAGTAAGGGTGTCATTTTGGTTTAAGGATTATCTAGTATTTTTAATATGGTTTGTTTTGGTGGACTATCTAGTATTTTTGTTTTGGTTAATTATTAATATGATTTTAATAAAATTTATATTTTGTCTGTTATAGGGGTTACTTGTGAAGAGCAAGGTTGTGATCGTTTTCAAGCATCCTACTGTGTAGCTTTCTTAGAAGTTAGTGGTTTTTTTTATAGGTATTCTCTGTTTTTGTTTAACCTTTATAGTTTAGTTTAGACTACTCAATTAGTATGGATAAAAAATGGATGTCTGCTAACCGATTGTCAAAAGAGTACGAGAATAGGGTATCGAAATTCGTTAAGTTTGTTGTTGAACACGCCAAAGACCCTAGTAGGATCATATGTCCTTGCTTAGGTTGCTGTTATGGGCGTCGAATTGACGTCGTTCAGTTGGAATCTCATTTAATGAGACATGGAATTGATCGAAGTTACACATGTTGGACATTACATGGGTGAGATACGTAACGAGAATGTTGAACCCCCGAATAATACGACCTGTGCTTCAAAGGACAATGGCAGGGATACATATGATTGTGATCGAGTCAAAGAGACTGCAGAAGCACTTGAAGAAGATCTTCAAGATTGTCCCAAGATGTTTGAGAGGTTGGTAAGCGATATAGAGAAACTGTTGTATAAAGGTTGCACTACTTTCACAAGATTGTCCGCGGTATTAAAGTTGTACAACTTAAATGCGGATAATGGATGGTCGGATAAAAGATTCACAGAGTTGTTATCCCTACTTCAAGAGATGCTTCCGGAGGATAATGTTCTTCCCAATCGAACCTATGAAGCTAAAAAAGTGTTATGCTCTATTGGCATGAGCTATGATAAGATAAATTCTTGTCCAAATGATTGCATTTTGTTTCGAAATGAATATGCATCATTAAACAAGTGTCCTAAATGCGGTGTATCTCGGTATAAGAAAAAGTTGTCACCAGCAAAAGTCTTATGGTATTTTCCTATAATTCCGAGATTCAGACGCATGTTTCGTAGTGAAACAGATGCAAAACACCTGACTTGGGATGCAAATGATAGAATTATAGATGGGAAGTATTGACATCCGGAGGATTCGCCAAAGTGGATGAAAATTGATAATGATTATCCTGATTTTGGAGAAAAAGCTAGAAACCTTCGCTTGGCATTATCGACTGATGGAATGAATCCGCATGGTCTGCAAAGTATCTCACATTCCACCTGGCCTGTAATTATTATGATTTATAACCTACCTCCATGGCTATGTATGAAGTGTAAGTACATGATGTTATATATGTTAATTTCTGGCCCTAAACAACCAGGGAATGACATAGACGTATATCTGACACCTTTAATCGAAGACTTAAAGAGTTTGTGGGAGAACAGTGTGGAGGTTTATGATGGATATAGGAAAGAAAGTTTTAATTTGAGGGTCATGTTGTTTGGCACAATTAATGATTTCCCAGCATACGGAAATCTATCGGGGTATAGCATTAAAGGTCAATGTGTGTGTCCTATTTGTGAAGAAAACACAGATTGAACGCGGTTGGAATTTGGTCAGAAGAATGTCTTTATTGGTCATCATTGTCGCTACGCGAAAAATAACACAGAGTCACCGCCAGATTTTATTTATCCCAAGGAGGGAAAGGGAAATAGTGATAAAACCTTTAGGAAAAGAGCGTGGTCATCGCAACCAAGTCCTAGGGTTCGGGAGTCAGTTATGCGAGGGGAAGGTATTAACACCCCCTCGCATGCATCGTACTCGATGGGAACCTCCTAGGTTGTTTAGCTTGAATGGGTGTTTTATCTAAGAGTTTGCTTGTTTTAGGAAAGAGGGGTTGGTTTTTTTTATTATAGTGCTCGCCAAGGATTGTGGCCCTTGTGCCTACGTATCCTCACTTAAAAGAAGTGAAGAATCAGAGCTCCGTAGTTCAGAGGCTTGTGAAATTATTGTTTGTTGGTTGATTTTATACCTTGAAAAAGGGTTTTTGGGTTGATTCCCTAAGGCGAAAATAGGTTTGATGAGTTGGTGTTATTTTTTAGGTTTTTTGGACGAAAATTGTTCTTGATTAGGATTACACAAAAGGACTTTGGATAGAGATGAATGTCTCGAATAGCCAAGTCGAGCGCCTTGTATCCAAAACATTCGGAACGAGTGTAGGAGGACTTCATTCTCATTCCTTCACCACATTAAAATCCATGGTGTACAACCCTAACCATATATTTATTGTATTTTGGATTTTTTTATGAGAAAAAGGATCACTTGATGTTAGATCAAGGTTTATTGTTAAAAATGAATTTGAAGTGATGTGGACAAGGTTGATGGCGATGCACAAGGCAATCGACTTACAAGGTTGAAAATGGCTCGATAAAATCGAGAGTTTGCCTTTTGAAAATAGTTTTTGGAAACAAAGGTCAAGAATGACCATAACAACATCCACATACTAAAATCATACAAACATATGGGGTTAACGTGCTAAAAAAATCGAGACATGCAAAAAAAACGACACGAAGGTAAAATGGAGAAAATAAGTGAAAAACAGAGGCGTGACACGGGCGGCCGTGTTGTGTGACACGGCCCGTGTCATGAGGTACCTACAATATGGGTTTTTGAGGCGAGACAGTGGTGTGACACGGGTGGCCGTGTCGTGTGACACGGCCCGTGTCACAAGGTCTGGGAAATATAAGTTTTTTGAGGCAAACAGCAGTGTGACACGGGTGGCCGTGTCAGGAGACCTGGGTGTTTTGCGCCATAAAAAATCAAAACAGCGGCGTGACACGGACGCCCGTGTCGCACAACACGGCCCGTGTCAGCCCTGCTGGGTGAAAATTCGAACTTTTTCCTTGTTCTTTCTTTGTTCTTATGGTTCTATAAAGGTTCCTTGTTTCCTCTTAAGACCTCACACGATATACACAGCACCGCAGCACTTTACAAAATGGAAATAAGAGAATACAAAAGCAGAATGTAAAGAGAGAAAAGTTTGATGAAATGGATACCCAAGAGGTTTTTCTCCTTCTTGCAAATCCTCTACTAGTTTTTTGGTTGGATGTGCTCTTAACTCTTCACTCTATGTTGTGAAGGTTCTGATCTTCAAGGGTTCTCTTATGTTCCTCTCTTTTTCTAATTTTAGGGTTTCTTGCTCTCTATTTTTTTTTTCTGGTTTTCCCCCT